GGGGGGGGGGGACCAAGTCCCGGGCTTGAATAAAAGACCCTTTGCTCTTGCATCGGAAAAGGCACCCTGGTGGTGGATTATTGGGGACCCCGAACTCTGGGCATAACAGTTACTCGTTTCAGCTGCTCACCCTATCTGCTCCGAGACAAGGCACGGGACACGTCCGTCTATACCACCGCCATTTTGTCTCTTAGATAGTTCTTTGTTTGTTTGTTTTTTAACCACCTAAGGCCTCTCTTGAGGAAATGACTGAGTAATTGATTGATGATGACAAAGGCTTTGGAAATATGGAATAATTTTGTGAATAAAGATTGCTTGATGGTTCTCCTCCTTCTCCTTCTTCTTTTTTTATATTTCAGTTCGGCAGAACGTTCTGGAGAGAGAGAACCACGAGTTAGCATGGCCAGGAAAAGGAACATTTAAGTTAACAGTCAAGTTGCCTCCAGACCCAAATGAAGTCCATGATGCCTCTAAGGAGAAAATTCCAGGAAAGGTAAATAAGGGAGCGAGTAGCCAGGAAGCAGGGTGTTCTCCCAAGGTGTGTGGGATGGGAAGCACAATGAGGGACACCTAGTGGGACAAAAAATATAATCAAACTGCAGTGAGAAATGCAACTTACAGATGTGGTGGGACAGGTATGGAATAATGAAGAGGAGGAAGCTTTTGTTTGATTATAGACACTTGAAAAAGTCAAGATTCGGGGGTTATAATAAGGGAGGTTTGAGATATAAAATTTTCAGTTGCTCTTAACCTGGAATCTGCTGTATTTGTTTTACTTTTACATAGTTTTGAGGAGATAGCAATCCATACTGCATGTACTAAGTATTTCCTAAAATGTTATAGTAGTAGTATTTACCTTGTTGGATTGTTGGATTGTTGTGAGGGTTGGATGAGACAACCTGTGTAAAGCAAATAGTACAGTGTTCATGGGAAAGACTCAATAAATGTTAAATGGGGAAAAGATGCAGATCTTACCTCATGCCCCGGACACTTGGTATTCATGGGGGTTTCTGTTATTTTTAACTCATTTTTATCAGAGAATTTGTTCTGAGTAATTGGAAGTGCCACTATACATGGAGAGCATTCAGAAGCATTATTGCTGGAGTTTTCCACTATTGTGTCTGCTGACCTTATATCTCCAGGCTGGTCTCAGGCACATTTTCATAATGTAAAGAAATTTGCATTATTGGCAATTTATTAATGCTAATTTATTGTCTGAATTTCAGGAATCCAAGATGAAAGAATATGCCAAAGAACCAGGTAAGGTCTCAATTGAGATGACTGGCCTTCACAAGGCAGTTTTGCTTTGATTAAAGATGTCACTTGTAGACATACATCATTCTTATCTTCTTTACTTCACAAGGCAGGTATTTCTCAGCTTGAAAATGCCTTGGACTGCATCCTCTTTTTACTCTCAGCCGGCTGTTCAGAGGGTGAACACAGGGGGAGCTACTTGAGCTTTAAGGGCTCAGGTCAGGAGGATGGAAACAGCTCTCTCTTTGGGGACTGGGAGACACCTTGCAATTGAGGGGAGGGCTAAGAGGTCCCTGCAGGAAGGCATAACTTATGTAACGTATCAGTGGGTGCTGTGTGTGGCTAAGTCAGTTTCTGAGCACTGGCTGTGGGAAGTGCTGTCCTCAGGAGTCTCTACAGGAAGGTGTGGGTCCTCTGTGGATGAAAGCTTGAGTGCTGGGTGCAGGATGGGGTGCAACTCTCCAGAGCAGCAGCAGCTCCTCTCCTCCCATCTGCTGTAAGATAGAGCCCGACACCTAGTGGCTGTTGTGGAGTCTGTTGCTTAACTAGTGTCTGGGTGTTAGCCTGTAGCACCTGACATTTACTAAAGAAGCAAGTGGTTTTCTGGGCTAAGCATGGTTTTATAAAGGGGATGAAAGAGTGAAATGTGTTGAATGTCTGAGCAAGAGAGATAAAGTGATACATATCCAGATCTTAGGGAAAAGAAAATTCCAAAAACGTGTAAATATTTTCTTCTAAAGTAGAAATTGAATGAGAACATGTTTAGATTTCTGCAACTTTCTCTTTTTGAAAATGGTACTGGGGTCATTGTCAGGGCTCTTGGTCCATTCTCAGAACTCTAGTAATTCATTAGTATGGTGATGAAAATGAGGATGGAGGGTGATTGCCTAGTAGTCCCATATCTAAGGGATGAGGAGAGCAGAGGACAGGCACTAGGCATGCCTGAAACCCATAGCCTAAAGTTAAAGATTGACAGGCAGTGACAGAGCAGGGAAAGGCACACACCAGCATCAGGGATATGAGCACTAAGCCAGTGTCCTGTTTCAGGCCAAGGTGAGCTGTGTTGGGCCTCAAAGGTGAAAACCAACCAGTAGAACTAGAAGAGAGATGACCAAAAGCAGAGAAATACTGGTCCCTTGTGATAAAAAAAAATTCTGTTAATTCCAATTCTATATTTCAAACCTGGACTCTCTTCTAAATCCCAGAGCTGTATCTGTCCTTTCTGTTGAAAAATATGTTAGCGCCAATGTGTCTGAAGCCACGTGTGTCATCTGCCTCCAAACCAGTGCCCTCTTCTGTCTTTTTTATTTCTCTTCAAGTGCATAACCAGTTTGCCCATCACCTACTAGAAATTTGTCTTTTCTTTAAGCTTTCACATATGTTGGTCTCATTCATTCCTCCCTCACCCCAGGTCCCCATTATCACTTTACAAATCCAGCATGGCAGGAATACCTTGCTTGTTCTCTCTGTACCTGATGTCCTTCTCCTTAAATCTGACCAGTCTTTTGTATTGCTGGATATCTGGTCATCTTTTTCACAGAAACCTTCCCTGGCTCACCTTACCACCAACTGTAAGATAAAGTCCAGACCCCATTCTGGATGAAGCTGACTTTTCTGGCCTCATTTCTTACATCTCTGTACATGAGCACTCCTTAACCTTTATTGGTCAGATCACCATTTCCTAAATAGTTTGGCACAACACGATACTCTGCCTGTATTCTGTTGCTCACAGTACTCTCTACCTCACTTTTCTCTACCTAAATTTGATAGACCCTTCAAAACCTACTCAGATTCCTCCTCTTCTCTAAAGCCATTCCAAGCCAGCCAATCCCTTTATCTCTCTTTCTTGGAATCCTGCCTTAATTGTTGGTGCTCTTTATATGACAATGCCTCTTGTGATGAAGCTTCTAATAGTGGGGTGATAAAACTGTATTGCTAGCAAGGCTCTTATCATTCACTCAGTCCAATACTCTCATTTTTAAATTAAGAGATGT